TACATCTACACAATGGAATACTATGCTGCCATAAAAAAGAAGGGATTCTCATCATTTGCAGCAACCTGGATGGAATTGGAGAACATCATGCTGAGTGAAATAAGCCAATCACTGAAAGAGAAACACCTCATGACCTCACTCATTTATGGATAATAAAGAACATTATAAACTGATGAACCAAAAGATAGATATAGAGACAGTAAAGCAACAAGCAGACTGTCAAATTACAGCGGGGAGGGGAGGGAGATTTGGGGGAGATAATAGATCAATTGAAGGACTTGTATACATGCATATAAGTACAACCAATGGACATAAAACTCTGGGGAGGGAGGGTATGTATGGGAGGAAGGGGGGCAAAAAAATCAATAAAATATATTTTTTAAAAATAAATTAAAATTAAAAAGTAAATAAATAAATAAATTTTAAAAAATAAAGTTAAAAAAAAATCTCAATAGCTCTTTTTGCAGAAACAGAGAAGCTGATCCTGTAATTCATATGGAATCTCAAGGCACCCTAAACATCACTATTGAAAAACATAGTTGAAGGACTCACAATTCCCAATTTCAAAACGTATTACAAAACTTAGTAATCAAAACATAAGATAATGGTATTGCATAGGATAGACATATAGATCAATTGCATAGAACTGACAGTCCAGAAATAAATCCATATGTCTACAGCCAATTGGTTATTGGTTATCTATAAGAAGCTAAAACTAGTCAACAGAGAAAGAACAGTCTCTTTAAGAAATGGTTCTGGAAGAACTGGATATCCACATGTAGAAGAATGAAGTTGGATGCATATCTCACACCATATACAAAAATTAACTCAAAATGGATCGAAGACCTAAATATAAGCTAAAACTATAACACTCTTAGAAGAAAACACAAGGGTAAAATCTTCATGACCGTGGGTTTGGCAACACAGTCTTAGACACCAAAAGCAACCAACAAAAGAAAAACATACAGTAATTGAATTTTAGCAAAATTTAAACATTTTGTGCATCAAAGGACATTACCAAAAGAGTGAAAAGACAACCCATAGGATGAGCAAAAATATTATTTGCAAATCACATAATATCCAGAACATATAAAGAACTACAATTCAACAGCAAGTGAATAGGCATTTCTTCAAAGAAGCCATATAAGTGGCTAAAAAGCACATGAAGAGATACTTAATGTTATTAACCATTATGGAAATGCAAATTATAACCTCAATAAGATACCACATAACATCCACTAAATTAGCAACAATAAAAAACAAACAAACAAAACACACAGAAAATAAGTGTTGGTGAGGGTGTACAGAAGATGGACCCCTTGTGCTGGTGTTAGAGATGTCAAGTGGACCATGACTGGGTAGCACAGTTGATTAAAGCATTGTCCCAATATGCAAGGTTGTAGGTTCAATTCCTGGTCACTACACAACAAATCGATATTTCTCCCCCTCTTCCTCTTTCACTCTAAAAATCAATAAATTTTTTTTAAAAAAGGAATGTAAAATGTGTAGCTGCTGTGGGAATCATTTTGGTGATTCCTCAAAAAGTTAAAAATAATTACCATATAATTCAGCAATTCCACTGCTAGCTGGAATTTTAAAATAATTTAAAATAGGTTCTCAAATGAATACTTGTATTTATGTTCAGAACAACACTATGTACAAAGATGATCAAAAGCTGGAAAAACTCATCTGATACATAAACAAAATGTGGTATATCCACACAATGGAATATTATTCAGTTTTAATAAGGAATGAAAAACTGATGCATGCTGAAACGTAGATGATTCTTTACACTGTGCTCAGTGAAAGAAGCCAGACACAGGAGGTGACATATTCTATGATTCCAGGTATACTTATGTAAAACAATCATAAAAGGCAAAACCAGATTGGTGGTACCCCTGCAAGGGGGAGGGGAGGAGAGGAATGGGAGCAGCTGCTTAGTGTGGAAGGGTTTCTTCTGGGGTGATGAATATGTTTTTGAACTAAATAGAGGTGATGGTTATACCAGATTGTAAATTTACTAAATGCCACTAAATTTTATACTTTAAAATAGTTAATGATTAACTTTATATCATGTGAACTTTACAACAAAAAAAAGGGAGAGAAGAAAATAGAAGAGAGAATCAGAGACCCTGAGGGGTCCTATTTCCCCTGAGACTTTTCTGGGACATCTGCCTTCTGGTGCTATGTTTCTGAAAACGGTGCTTCCTTTTCTCCTACAGGACTGTGATGCTTTAAGGGCAGTGACGAGGCCCAATTCACATCCCGGCTTTCTGGGGCTCAGGTCAAAGTTTCTGAAACATCCTTGCCTTCTTTCTCTCATATGCACCTACTCATCTGAACAACAGAATACCGTGTTCAACTGCTACTTGCCTCTTAGAGCCCAGGATCTCTCCCAACTGCACGACCTCCTTTCTTTCTGGTCTCCCTGCTTCTGCCTTGACAGTCTATTCTTACCATAGTTTCCAAACAACTAGGTTAAAACCTAATCAGGTCATGTCCCTCTGCTTAATACACCCATGGCTCCCACCTCTCTCAGAGCAAAGCCACAGCAACGGGTGGTCTGGCCCTATCCTCTTCCGACCTCACCTCCTACCAGCCTCCCTTCATCCCCTCCAATCCAGCCACATTGCCTTCTTTGTTGTGGCTGCAACACATTGGAGATACCACTGCCTCGTGGCTTTTACACTTGCTCATTCTTCTGCTTGGAATGTCCTCCTGGATGTCCCCATGCCTACTCCCTCTATGCCCTCAGTTCATGACCACATCAGTAAGATCCTCTGAGATCCCCCATTGCAAACTGTGGTCTTCCTCACCCGATTTTCTGCAGTACACTGAGTGCCTTCTACCATCATATATAATTGATTTGATTTTTGTGACATTATCTGACTCCCACCTAAATGCCAGCTTCAAAAAAAGATCTTATCTCCTTTGTTCCATCTTGTCTCCCCGAATTTAGAACAGAGTATGATGTTCACTAAATACCTGCTTCATAAACATGTCCTGGGCATTGCCCAGCTCGGGATGCACAAGGACGAGATGTCAAATCTGCATGACACATCCCATGGCACACTGTCACTGGGGTTAGTAGGAGGCAAGAGCCTGCACTGGCCCAACCCAACCAGTACCCTCAGTGGGGCCACCTCTGGGCCTTGCACACAGTAGGTGCTCAATAGACATTTGCTTTCCTGAAAGGATATCATCTGTCAAACATCAGATTACAGCATCTCCTTCAATACCCTGTTTATTAAGTATCAAAGGCCACACCAGTGCAGGGCCAGGCATGAATTCCGGAATGTGGGGGGGTGGGGGGGAAGGAAGGATGCAGAGTGGAGGTGGGGCAGGGGAGAGGGTTATGTTCCACTGCACACACGAACAGCCAAGGAAGAGCAGCCCTGAGAAACCTGCATGAACTCTTCAAGTGTTCACAGCAGAGAAAAGAGAAGAGAAAAATGCATATGTCTGCAGGGTGATTGGGATATTTCTACGCAGCAACACCGAGATGCCAGACAATGCCCGAAGTGGACATGTGTCTCACCTGAGCGTGAAGAGCGCAGCACACTGTATCACGCTTCTATAGCACCTGGAACAGAACCAAAACTCTTCCCACAGCCTACAAAACCCTGTGTAGTCTGATGCTGCTGGCCTCCCTGAACACTCCACATGCCTTCTCAATATCTCAGTCCCTTCAACTTAGCTAATCAATCACCCTTCTCCTGCTGCAGGAGGCCAAGTCCCTTCTTCCCAGTCTGAGGCTGTGGAGCATTCTTTCTTCAAAGCTCCATCTACTCCTTTGTCATCTACTCCTTACTATTTAGTCTCAGCTCAAACTTCACCTCCTCTGGGAGACCCTCCCTGATCATTCTAAATGAGCTTACTTCCATACAGGGCCCTCTATTTTTTTCCCCTTCATAGCCAAGGTGTATCCTCTTTCTGGGCCTAAGCTTTTCCACCTATGGAAGGGAAGAGCCTGGTGACCTCTACTATGGCTCTCAGTCTAAAATGAATCCTTCTTTAAAAAAAAAAATAAAACACTTTATTTAATTTATTGGGGTGGCATTGGCTAATAAAGTTATATAAGTTTCAGGTGTATAGAGATTCCACACTCCTGGGGGCCGAGAACCTATTACATCCCTGACCTCACCAGGGCAGGCTAACAGCACCAAGTTTGGATGCAAACCCCTGCCTAGCCCTCCTCTCTGCTCCCATAAAGGGAACTGACTAACTGCCTCCACCTCAGAACCTCAGCACTGACAACAGCTGTAGGTCCTCTAGAAGGAGATCATGAGCAGACAGCCTGTAGGTGGGATTTTAAAATCTTGAATGAGTAAACACGTTAAGAAATCAGGAACTGTCACTTAATAATCTGGATTTCTTGCTTTGCTTCAAAGCCAAGTACTCTGGCCATGCTGGGCATACAGTGGGGCTGAGTAGCAGCCACCCACTTGGGAAGGGCCACAGCTTCCAGTTCACCCATACACTACCACCTGCACAACCAGATATGTTCCCTGCTGTGCCCTGGGGGTGTCAAACTCATTTTTAGCACAACAGTTTTCATCAAGTTTTTAGCAGTACAAATTCTCAGAACAAAATCTTAAACTTAAATCCAATATAAAAATAGGCCAAATAGAACAGCTTGGATTGGATAGGGACAGGGCTGGGCTACCCTGTCCATCATCTCAGCAGGTCAGTGCAGCCTGTTCATGGAGCACAGATCAAAAGTCATTAATGTAGAAACCCCAATCTCTGTGAAGTTTCACTCTCCACCAAGTGGACATCCCTGCTTTCACAATTCCAGAGTGAAAGCTCATAACCCCTGCAGCAGTCTAGCCATCCCTGGTGTTTGTGACACCTTGCTCTTCTTGGGACCACAGACTCACATGCTTCCCCTGTACTATGGACAGGAATTGATCCCGTTTAGGCTGTGCTTTCCCAGGCTGAGCTGCCCTCCCCTGGCCACTCCTCTTGGCAGACAGCTCTTCTGGCCCTTGGCCTTGTACCTTCAGCTCGTTGAGATAACGTCTCGTGTGCACCACCAGCAGGTCCTCCTCTGAGGCTTCCTGTGCCTCTACCAGCATGCCGTCAGACAGAAGCTTCTCTTCTGAAACCACAAAGTGGGCACCATACTTCCCTGCTAGGAGGGCTCAGCCCAGTCCCTCCCACAGGCTGACCTCTGTCAGCCCTGCCCCAGGGGAAGGTGGGCATTGCTGGTTTATGGGTATTCTGTCAACAGGCCGCCTCCCAGGCAGTGTGAACAACGGCCAGGTCCTTAGACCAGGGGACTTCAGATATTTTTCACACAAAGATCCTTTCCAAGCCACGGATAGCCACAAGGTGAGCTCCGATGTGTCTGGAAAACTTTCAGAGGCAGATGACACCTGGGTCAATGATGTTGACCCTCAAGGTGAGAAAAGTTCTTTGATCAATTCTCCCCCTAACTTCTGATGGCATCCTGGGAGGCTCAGTGTGGTGTGGCCTCTCTTTAATCCCTTCCTGACTCATGATCATCTCCCTTTTTAACCCCCAAAAAGCACTCACAACCTGCAGCAACAGTTGTCAGCAGCCTGAAGCAAATTATACTCTTGTTTTCAATGCATTATATTTCCCATGACTTTCTATTTATGGCAAGTGAAACCAGCTTTTCCCATTTAGATGACATATGTTTCCTTTTAAAACAAGTTTATTTAAGTTTTTAAAAATGAAGGCTAAGTCAATAAAAAATATGAATTAAAAATGGAACAGGTGGAATGAAGAGATGGCAAGGTCCCAAGAGTGGTTTGCAAATGACCGATGTTTAGAAAACACTGCATTATTTCATTACCCCTCACATACACCAGATAAGATTTGTTCCATTTTTCAAAGAAAGAAACTGAGGTCAAGAGATGAAATGCTCTAGAGCACAGTGAGAACAGGCCCATGATTCTCTGGGTTCTAGGGAAATCAAAGAAACAACAAGGTCAGAATCATGGGGATCTGTTTTAAAGTATTACCCTTAGAAACCAACCCTGGCAGAAACCAACTAGTAACATATGTTTCTCACATACACCGTGTTTCCCCGAAAATAAGACATCCTCCAAAAATAAGACCTAGCGCATGGAAAGATAAGACATCCCCTGAAAATAAGACCTAGCACAACTTTGGGAGAAAAAATTAATATAAGAAACTGTCTTATTTTTGGGGAAACAGGGTAGTTCCACAAACAGTAGGTATTCCTCCTAACGCACCCCCAGAACATTTTATGGCTCCCCAGTGTCTTCAGGCAAAGGGCCAGCTCTTTTCTTGGAGGCACCCAAGGCCCTTCACCATATGACCCTTGCCCCCTTTCTACCTACATCCTCATAGGAGAAAGGAGAAAACTCATGAGGACTGTTGGCTCTGGATGAGGGAGACAAGGAACTAGGTGATACCGGAGCCAGAGCCCAAGGGGAAATGAGAGGAGGAACTCAGACTGGAAGCAGAGCATGAAGGACCATATTCAGGAAGGCCAGAGAACAACAAGGTGAGGGCAGGCTGGCTCTGCTCACTTTGTCAGAGTTCTTACACAGCTGCACACAACTTGTATTCTTTTCAACTTAATATTTCTGTGAATACTCACTCTAATCACTACTGCAGACTGAAAATAAGTATCACTTGCCATGAATAGAAGCTAGCCAGAAATTAAAAAAAAAAAAATTAAAAAAAATATATATATATATAAAATAGGACCAGTGTTATTAATTTCCAACTTGACTCTATTTTCTGCAAGGTGCAGACCCTCAGGCTTGCTCTGGATTTGTTAAAAAGGGAGATGGGCTTAGTGTTTAAGATGGGCTAGCCCCCAAATGATAATGCGGAGTTTTCACGCCAAATTTTTCTCCATGGTGTGATCAGAAGAACTGAGCCATCCTACACCAGGCAACATTTCCATAACACTTCCTACTTCCCTCAGTTAAAGCACTCTTGATGCAGAGGGAACAATAATATCCTGGCACTAGCCTACTGTGATGCCTGGATTTCCCACACCACAGTTCAAACAGTGCATGTTTGACCTTGCCCAGTGAGATGAGCTATGAAGGGTAGGAGCCTGGAACTCTGAGTTTCAGATACCTGCTACTTAGTAGCAAAGTGACTGTGAGCATGTTTCCTAAATTTTCTGGGACCCAGTTTCCTCCATTTGTAATCAATGAAGTTGGAGCAAGAGTTCTCTTCTTCTTGGACTCTCTGATCTTGTGGTGGATAGACATTGGATTCCTCCAAACTTCAGCTTCCTGTGTCCATCATTAATTAGCTCCCTTTCTACTGGACTTCCAGGGGAAGATACAAAACTTAGGTCCAGAGCGATAGGGAGCTAGGGAAGGTTTGAGACACGGACATATGCTTAGAAGTTTGGGTTGGAAAGTCCCTTTTCACGGCATGGGTGGAAGGCAGTCTGAGGGCTGAGGCTGGAGGCAGGGGTATCTGAAGCTTGTGTTAGGGAAAGGCAATGGTGGAAGGTAAAGGAAACAGATGCAGGGTCCAAGGTGGGCCTTCCATACCTTTTAGGAAGCTGATCACCTTGCCCCATTTTCCGGCGTCAAAAGGATGCAGCTTCTCCAGGCCCATAAAGGTTATATTGTAGCGCGGTGAGTACACGATGGGCCACCGGGTCTCTGGCACGTGCTGGTACAGCTGGGTTGTGTGCGGCCTTCCGTAGGCATAGGGACAGAATGCACAGATAGAGATGGTCTCAGTGTGGGAAGCGGACTCCCATTGTGCACCAGTCGGCTTTGATTTACCAGACAGACTTGACCTGGTACCACTAGCTAGCTGCAAAAAAGAGGCCACACAGCAACAACAATAATAGCGGGTCCTTACTGAACATTGGCTCTTTCCCTACCACCTCTCCATCTCACCAAAGGCTTTGAGAGGGGACTAAGGCTGCAAGACCTCAGCACCTCACTTCCACATTATAACAATTACAACTAACAGCTGTGCTGCCCTAGGCCTCAGTTTCCTATAAAATGTGTGCCTTTTGCGAAGATGGAGAAAATGCATCTATTGTAAATAGCGGAGCAAAGAAAGCGTCCTGATAGCGAAAGCTGGGGCTCCAAAACAGACATTTGGGGCTCGCGCGGTCGGGCCCAACAAGGAGCCAGGGTGCTAGTCATCTCCTATCCACCGCGCAGCTTACTCCCTACCCCACCCCATCACACCTCCGCAACTGCTGCCACCTCAGGGGCCTCCACAAGACTGGTTGGGCCACGTCAGACCCGCGCATGCTGCGGGCTCCGGGACGGGCTCCCGTTCCCTGGGCTGCTGAGAGACGGCTCGGGCGGACCGGGCGCGGGGCCCGCTTGGGCACATCCGGCCCCAGCGTCCCCTCACCCGCCATACCTGGGCCCACACCTGGTCCGCCCGCCCGGCCGCCCAAGTACTTGTGCTCCAGCCCATGGCGACCCCCGGGAACCTAGGGGACCAGGACTGGCGCCCCGCCACGCGCCCCCCGCCGCACTCACATCCCGCAGCAGGGCCCTCCCAGCGCTGACGCCTCTCAAGGACCCGGCGGGGCGAGGAAGGTCCCGCCCAGGACACGCCCCCGGCCTCACCGCCTCCATCAGGGCGGAGTCCCGCGGGCTCGGCCCACGCCGCCGCCGCGTCACAGAAGGTCGGAGTCCCACGCTCGGGCCCGGCGGGAGGGAGGCCGCGCCCCCAATGCCCGGCAGCACCAATGGCCTCCTTCCTCAGACTGGCCTGGGGACTGGCCAGGCCCAGGGGGGCTCATTGCCTTGGGGACTTGGAACGCCCAGCCTCGCCCCGCCAGGGAGGCGCCGTGCGGCCTCGCAGGCTGAGCTCCTCCTCCACGCTCTGGCGGGACTGCGGGCCAAGCTGGCCTGAGTGCCTGTGTGACCTTGGGCTAAGTCCGCGCGCTGGGGTCTCTGCTTCCGCGAGTAACGGGGCAGCGGGAGGTCGTGTGCGCGGGAGGGGACCCTGCCTCTGACCTGAAGTCACGCGCTCCCCTCGGCGGATGAAGCCCCAGCCCTGTCTTGGGCAGCTGGCTCCCCACACAAGCCTTAGGCTCTTTGTGCCTCCATTCTTCTTCGACATAACCCAGAACTCAAGGTGCAGTCCCTCAAGATTCTCCCAACCGGGAAAGCCAAAACTACTCCCAGGGGCAGCTGACTGTCTTGGGCTGGACCTTGGGAGACGGCCATAACAATAGAGCCCAAAAGGACAAAGACAATGGGCCTCTCTGTGGGCGCAGCTGCTGACCCCAGGGCTGCCAGGAGCTGGGATCCCTGGTGGCTCGGGTGACAGGGTGGGGCATCATGAAGGAGAAGGGCACAGACATTTGACCAGTGCTCTCTATGTGCTTGTCACTTGATTGCATAATGGCACTGAATTCTCTCAACCTAATCCTATGAGGTGCTGTCATCACACCTCAATTTTATCATAAGGTAACTGAGGTTCAAACACAGCACTGAATAATCTCTTTGCAGGAGAGCTAATAGTCTTGTGCTCTCCAGCCTCCCCTAGACCTCTCCGCACCAGAGGCAGATTACTAAGATTCAAGATAATGTCAGAAAAAGAATGAATTTTGTTCATAGGTCAATTACAATTCATACTTAAGTAGCTATATGATTCTGCTTAGCTGATATTAATGATAAGGAAGACTAAACATGGTAAGCAAGGTTATCTGGGCTGCTTCACTGCGGAATCACCAGCCACTCTCTGCAGATCACTGGAGTAGCATTCAAATGCAAATGAACACATTCTTTATCTGAAGACTCCCAGCCATTCATGTAAATTTGTTACTATTTAGTTTCCACCTCATGGCAGGAAATTTCAAAAGCTGCTTATAATGACTTGGGAAATTAGTTTTAATTTATCTTTTAGTTAATCTCTATCATTTTTAAAGCTCATTCTGTTCACAGAAAAGGATTTTAAGCATAGCCCAAAACTATGCGCATTTGTTTTGAATTGGCCTTTTCTCTTTACTGAACACAGAGATTTGTCCTTGAGCTCTTCTCCTGTATCCAAGGCCTCTACGCCGCCCCCCCCCTCCCCCCCGGCCCAGGTCCCAGAGCGAGGCTGCTGCTGCCGCCGCCCCAGCCACACTACTCAGGCGGCCCCATGAGGAGGAAGTACCTGTCGCCCCAGCGGCTTCCTGACTCCGCCTCCCCTTCTCCAGGCAGCCAGCAAATTAACTCAGGTGCCTGCTCCCCGAACGTGGCCACCACTGCCAAGCTGAGCTCCAACACGCAGACTGAGCCTCACGGGAGCCCCACCGACCCAACGCCACCAGGGGGCCCCGCACCACCACGTTGGCCACACTTCGCCAGCTCCATCCTGGGGCGCCATGTCGCCCGCCGATACCAAACTCAGACCTGGGAAATGTTTCCTCAGGTGATGCAACAGCTAACGCCGCTTACCTCGTCCTGGGAGAGGCTCCAATTCCTCTCCCCATATGAGGGTCCCTCTAGGGCCCTCCCAGGAGGTCAGAACGTCTTCTGATCCTCCTGCCCGTGGTCCTATGGCACGTCTGCCAGATGTATTCGGGCACCAATTCCACGAGGGGTTTTACATCCCTCCAGAGTGCTCACACAAGGACAGACAAACACACACCGACCGCGGCCAGTCAGGCTCTCCGGATCGGGGTCCCTCATGGTCCTGACTGAGGATCCCGGACGAATTCCCCCATATGTTACGCCCAGACTTCGTGATCCCCAAGGACCACGAGGGAGCCGAGTCCAATGCAATAAACAAAAGAGCCTTTTCCATCCTAGCATGGGCTCTGTCCCACTCATGCTGGCAGCATGGCGGAAGAGAGAGAATTTCACCCAGTCCAGGGGTTTTACTCCAGTCAGTGGTGATGTCATTGCCTCGGCTAACCCTGATTGGTTGGGTGAGGGCTAGGGATAACTCCACCCTGCGGGGCAGAGTTGGGAGCTCATCCTTGCCCCACCCTGCCCGCTCACAGGTCTGAATTAAACCCATTCTCTACTACCTGTGTTTCCTCAAAAATAAGACATCCTCCAAAAATAAGACCTAGCGCATGGAAAGATAAGACATCCCCTGAAAATAAGACCTAGCACAACTTTGGGAGAAAAAATTAATATAAGACACTGTCTTATTTTCAGGGAAACAGGGTACCTACCAGCCCAGTGGCCTTGGCCAACTTCTTTAGGTCTCTGGTCCTTCATTTCTGCATCTGTAAATGAGATTGAGAGAGCAGGGAAGGGTGAGGGGACCTCCTGACTAGAACCCTGACTCCACTGTAGGGTAGGGCAGAGCTATCCTCCATTTTGTGTAACTGGACCCTAGCCCTCACCCAACCAATCAGGGTCAGCCAAAGAAGTGACATCACTATGGGTGTAAAATCCCCAGGCTTGGAGAAGTTTAAGCTCCTGTCCCCCATGCGGTCGGTGTGAGTGGGACAGAGCCCATGTTAACATGGAAGAGGCTCTCTTGTGAATTGCATTGAACTTGGCTCCCTGGTGGTCTTTGGGGATCATGGAATCAAGGCGCAACAAAATGATGCCTACCCGTCTACCTCACGAGGAAGTTAACAGAATCAAAAGAGATAGGAATGCTGATGATTATTTACAGAGCACGTTGCAGGTGAATGAAAGGAGCCACATGCTAATCTGACAAGCTCAGGGGAGGCCTGGTGGCAGTCTTGCAAACTCAGAGACCTAAAATAACCACAGAAGATGGTTTGAAAATTAAATATTTAAACTATAAACAGGTAATAGTGGGTAGTCATGTCCTAGACCGATATTTTGCCTGACAAAGATCAACTTAGATCTTCTTTACTGAGCCCATTTGCCTTTTTGCCTCTAAAATAATATATCTGTGAGTTGTCTGATTAATTTGTAACTTCCCTTTTTCTGGAGCTCCTGGGGCACAACCAAATGTGGTGGGCACCAGGACAGATGCCTCAAATTCCTTCTTTATCATATTAATTGTTCCTGCACTCACCTAAGTACCTGTCCATCATTTTACTTTTTATCTAGTCCTAGGGGTTTCCCACCGCTTTGCTTTATCCCACCTCTTTAATCTGTCACCAATGAATTTCATGTAACCTACCTATGTCCCTCCTTTGATTCCAATGTATAAATAGAAATGTAATCTGCCATTCTTCGGAGCATTATCTCAATCCATTGAGGTTCTGCTTCCCTGAATATGTTGACAGTTTGGCTCAAATAAATTCACTAAAATTCTTTACAGGTTTCAATGTTTTTGTTTTGTTTTTTTGTTAACACAGGTTTTAGGTTCAATTCTAAAAGCTTTATGCTCATTTAATTCTTATAGCAACCCTAGGAAGCAAACTATGATTATGCCCATATTACAGAAGTAATTTGCCCAAAGGTGAGGGATGTGGACAGATGTAAACTATAGCCACTATAGTTTATAGTTATATAAACTATAGAAAGGAAAAAGTGATATTGCATAACAACCATAAGCAAGAAAATGCATACAGTGGTTCTGAGTCATTGTGAGAGATCAACCTTATCTCTAAGAACCTGCATGGTTGTTTGGGAAGGCACAGATGAGCCTTTTGTTGGGAGAACAAGAATTTGAGGCAAGCTGGATCAGGGGGCTGAAGCCAAAAAGAGTAGGATTGCTCTGGGTAAGAGGGTTTTTTTTTAAAGTGATGTCTGAGGAGGAAGGTATTCTGGAGAACACTTCAAACCAGCATGCCAATTTGGGCCATCTACCCACTCTATCACCTGTGGGAGAAATAAACTATGCTATTCGTGCTGTGTGTTTGAGGGCCGCTGTTACAGAATCCTACTATGCCTGCTCACTGACTGCTCTGGGACATAATAGTGAACCCAATAGGCAAGATTCAAAAGCCATTGTCAAACTCACAGTTTAGTGGGAGAGACAAACATTTAACTAGGAAACAATCATAATTATAAAACATGTTAAGTGCTGTGACAAGCATAAGGTGAGATGGTGAGAGAGAATAAAGGAATCCCTGATTAGACAGTGGTCAGGAAGGTCCCAAGATGACTGGTTTTTGTTTGTTTGTTTAACTGTATATTTTATTTTTTTAATTCATATATATGTTATTTCAAAATGTCATTGTGATAAAACAAGACACTGATTTGTCAAACTTTGTATAGTTATTATTTCCCCTTTTTGTGCAATCTTGGAATATATTTCAACTTAAAATGAATAAGAAACCCCCAAACCATAGCACTTCTTTTTTTTTAATATTTTTAAAAAATTGTTTCAGAGAGGAAGGGAGAGATTGGCTGCCTCTTGCATTCCCCACACTGGGGATCAAGCCCACCACCCGGCATATGCCCTGACCTGGAATCCAATCAGGTGATCTCACGGTTCTTAGATTGATGCTTAACCACTCAGTAACACAGGCCAAGACCATAGCATTTCTCTTAAAAAATACAGGCATACAAAGGACAGCATGAACTGTAGAAATGCACCAAAGATGAATAACAACAGACACAGATGAAATATTTCAACATTAGTTAAATTGACACATTATTAAAACCATGCTCTTTTAAGTTCAAGTAAACACCTACCTATGCCCATTCTGGTATCTAGCAGTTTTATACATATTTAACACTGCAGCAACAATAACATTAAGTAGTATTTGTTAAACCCATAATGAGTGATAAACATTGCTAAATATGTAAAACTCACA